ATGGGAAAATGGGAATGGGAACAAAATTTTTTTTTAGGGAATGGGAATCAGAAAAAGTTGTTCCCGCAGGACACTAGTTTATAGTCACAATCTACCTGGTCATAAATCCTTATTTTTTAAATCTTGGCAAGATTTCCTAAACGTTGCAAATGTATACACTTTTGTTGGGTATCTATATGGAAAAAAACCTTAGGTGAAGAATTCTTAGCATGTGACGGCAAGGCCTTATCTAAGCGTTTATTCTATCCAAATATCCCATAAGGATTTCGGAACGTAGATAAAACTTCAAGGGTATATATATATATATATATATCTGCACCGTATAACAAACCCTTACCCAGGCTTGTGAAAAAACAAATGATTTATGAAGAGACAGCTTATGATCATAAACTTGAAAAAGCATCTGTAATAGTAGTAAACGAAGACATATTTTTTATTACTCTCCACTCTATTTTTTTAAAGTGCTATAAGAGAAGGAGAGAAGCGTATAAATGTCGCAGACTTTTGCTCTTTGCACTCATTTTGAAAACTATTGTGTAGAAGAAAAAAGCTCTAACTAAAACTTTGAAACAGTAAGTTGTACACACCAAGCGTGTCTATATCATTAGGAACAGAACTTTGATTTACGTGGTGCTTTTTAGAGAAAAACGATGGCCGAGGAAGTCCAGGAAGGAACCGGTGCATGCTCGAAATGCAGTTGTCAAGGATGGTGGAATTGGCAACCAGGAAACAGCGCATGCGGCACCTGTGGACATTCTTATAGCGACCATAAATGATGACGACTCGAGGAGCTTGTTCACGAACATTGCGGAGCTTTTCCTATCTTTAGATTCAACTCACTATATTCCTTCACATTTTTTTCTTTTCGTCATTGCATTGTTCATTCTTCTTTTTTTTGTCTAAATAAATAAGATTCATTCTACCATTCTGAACTTAGTATTGATCGTTTTCATTTCAGGTCAAGACATGAGAAACTGGTGCCGATGAAAGGTCTGTCAGGCTGACTTTCTATAAGTCGGATCTGGTTGCCCGTTTATTCCTTTTTTACCAGTATAATAATAATAATAATAATAATAATGCTAATAGGGTGCAAGTAACTATTTGTTTATCTAGAGTGAAATTTGTCATTTGAATACTTTAAGATCACTAGATTAATCATTCATTATTTGGATAGCTTTCATATTGAAAAAAAGCAAACCAATAGATACAAAGTAACGTTATGAAAAAAGTCTCGCTTTTGTGAAAGGTCACGTTGGACGGATTCGATAAGAAAGAATATTGTTCACCGTGTTATAATCAAGAGAAGAACGACATTCTCCAACTGCCAAACCGACAGCAGAAAATGGGTGTGGGTGTGGGTGTAGAGCTCGTATTCACTCACATCCACATCCACATCCACATCCACACCCACACGCCCACACGCCCACACCCCACACCCCACACCCCACACCCCACACCTCACACACACACCCCACACCTCACACCCACATCCACACCCCGACTCAAGGCCTGATCAAATAGTAGTGAATAGACCCATACCGTACCCGTTACTATTTTCTATTTTGAATATTTGAAATCCTTCTCGTATTTTAATGCTAATGTGTAAATTCTAGATAAATTATTTATTACACACTTGATTTCAAAAAAAATATTTTGTTCATTTGTCGAAAAGGTAATCTATTTATTAGATCGCTTTAACATTTCTGAAAACGTTTTCTATTTATATTTTGATCAACGAAAAACACAACAAAACAAAATCATATAGATAGAAGAAAACTAATTTAATATCTAACTAACATTCACTGTTCATTTCATATTAATTAAATCAAAAACATGGTAGGCATCGATGCAAGAAATAAACATATTCTTGATACAAAACATATTTGTCCTGTGTGTTCATTGATATTACGAGATCCGATACAACTGACTGAATGTGGCCATCGATATTGCCAAACATGTTTCAATGCTGAACAAGCGTATGTTTCATTATCAGTTTGAAGTATTATTCTTAAGTGTTCTTTCTCAAGAACGACAATTAAATGTCGACAATGTCAATCAGAAACATTACGAAGCGATGTAATTACCAACGATAGAACGATTGCGAATCGTGTTTTTGATCTAAAACATAGAGTTTAAGGTCAGAAGAAGTTTTCTTGGATATATAGGAATAATGCTAGTGTAGACATTTATAATGCAAATAAAAGTTTAGTATGAAGATACAAAGTGTTGATATACTTTCTGAGTCTCTCTAATATATGCTCGAATAACATTTAACGATAGACTATTACAAGCTTCATCTACCACATATTCTAGTTTGCGTTGTGACTTTGGATCCTTGTTTTTAATTTTCTATTTAATAATTTTCCAGATCAGTTCAAGAGCGTTAAAATCAGGACTATTATCTGTCTATTGACATAGCTCAATATTATACTATAAGCTAGAGAATGTGGTCAATGAAGCTTACAACAGTCTATCATTAAATGTTATTCAAGCATGTATTACAAACACTCAGAAAGTATATCAACATATTGTATCTTTATATTACACTTTTATTTGTATTATAGACGTCTACACTTGTACTATTCATATAAATCTAAGAAAACTTCTTCTGATCTCAAATTCTATATTTTAGATCAAAAACACGATTCGCAGTCGTTTTGTCGTTGGTAGTAAGATATCTTTGCCTAATTAAAGAGAAAATAATATTTATTTTGTCTAGATACAGCTCGATCGAGGCTTCAAAAATGATATGAAATCTCTAGTCATTGATTGTTCTTTTTGCCAATGGACTGGTATCTTAAATAACTATGAAGTAATTTATGATATATTTGTTTTATTCTTGAATGTTTTTTCTTCCAAAGGAACATTTCGATCAGTCTCATTCAAATGTCAAATGTGAATATTGTAGCGAACAGTTCAATTCAGTTAACAAATTCAATGAACATAAAGTCTTCGAATGTCAACAACTTAGTGTTGACTGTATATTGAAAGATTTTGGTTGTAATGAACGAGTAGGAATATTCTCTAGATGAAATTGATATTGGAAAAGTCATGTTCTTTAGATTATTCGTGTTAAAATGAAAGATCATTATTTAACTGAACAACATCAACATGCTCTACTCAAAGTTGTTCGTCACATGTTACCGCAATTGAACGACAGACAAACGGATATTGACCTTCCTCGAATAACAACAGCAGGAGCTTTTGATCCTGCTACAGCTCAATTAGAAGAACTTTATGAAATGCTCAATATCTTGGTAAGTGGTATCGAGACATTGAACAAAGATGAACAACGTCTAGCCAATGAGTCACTTCAAATGCAAATGATACTTCCAACATTGACAGAAGAATTATCGAAAGTTAAATTATCTATTGAAGAGTCAAACGCTTTTTTCGAGGGAGTCAAATGTAATCAAGACATTCTCAATCAAGATTTAGTATCATTACAAGAAAAAATTAATGATTTGCAGTATGTTTCATATGATGGATCATTAGTTTGGAAAATAACAAACTTTCGAGAGAAAATGAGTAAGACGAACAGTTACTCTTATCTTCAATGATAAAAATAGAATATGTTATCAAAAAGATAATCAAAGACATTCAGCACAATATATAATCATATACGGATACGATATATGAGTAATCTATTGATGAATTGACGAAATGATTTATCAATGCTGTCGATCAGCTAAATTTCTTTATACTTGCTTTTGTTCTTCAAGTTTTCTTTTTTTGTAGAAGTCACATACGTGATAAAGGAAAATAGTGAGTGTCAGTTATCAAACCAGTTTTTCGCCTCGTCCACCTCTTCCATAATAAGCCGGATCAAAGGATAGCAGTGAGGATGTAGATCGATGATTTTAACGCCGCTGATAGTCATCGTAGCGCTGATAAAGATGTTCGCAATAGGCTTTAGTAAGCGAGATCTTTGTCAATGAGTATACGTTTCCATAGCAAATAAGGACAACAGGTATCAGATTTCTTCTTTATCAGTCCTTGGCAAGGTAAACAAATCTGCTGAACTGCATTCCTGAATAGCACAGATTTTGGTTTTTATGCAGATCACCAATTATATTTAAGATATCATAGATGATGACTAGTGATGTTTAGATTTGTCAAGGTATCATATGATCGACACTAAAAGTATGAATCAATCAAGTTGTAGCTTTCGGGATATATTTAATACTAGGTTCTTGAGGTTGGTAACATACATAGTAGCATGTTGAAACATATTGTATATACAATAGATGTGTACAATAGGCTTATATATCGTTTAAATGAATAGTTAGAATAAACATAATATTAATTTAAAAAAAAAACGAAGCAGAAAAAAAAGAAAATAAATAACGAGCGAATAGAAATAATATAAATTAAAAATAGAACACGAGTAAAAAGTTTCTTCGAAACGCAGAAATAAATAAAGTAAATCGTTTTCCTGGTAATCGATTATTCTTGGAAAATCACTATAACCTATTAGATATTTTTCATTTAACCTATTTTGTATGAGTATAACACGAAGCTGAAGAAGGCATGTGAGTTCCATATTTTAGCCTCAAAGAGACTATGCTGATGAGTGTTTTCGCTTAATTTCTAGTTGATGCACAGTCTGAAAGACAAACATCAATTTATTCACCTCCATTTTATTCATCTCCAAATGGTTATAAAATGAGAGCTCGTCTTTATTTAAATGGTGATGGAAATGCTCGTCGAACACATATTTCACTCTTTTTTGTGCTTATGCGAAGTTTAAATGATCCAATTCTCAAATTTCCATTCAAATATAAAGTCACATTTTGTTTGTACGATCAAACGTCTGCACAACGACATATTATTGATTCATTTCGACCAGACATTAAATCAAGTAGTTTTCAGCGACCTCGTTTGGAAATGAATATAGCTAGTGGTATACCGAAATTTTTTCCATTGGAAGCGATTCAACAGGAGGGGAATCCATATGTACGAGATGACACAATGTTTATCAAAACTATGGTTGATTTTGGAGACATACCCAAAACATTATTACCCTATGCTTTGAGTCTGAATCCGGGTCTACCAACGCATATTCAACAAGCAATGATCAAGCAAGAAACTGAACGAAGAGCATAATTACGATCAGACGAGTAACTGCAGATGCCTCAGGATTGACCTACCCTTTAATTTATATCAAGTATTGAAGCAATAATCAAGAGTACCCTGTTTTGAATTTATGGAACTTTTTTTGCAATTTAAAATATAAACCAGATGTTACTTTAAGCTTTTCTGTTTTTGATAATCATGCAAAGTTTACTGATCTTCCGTATAAAATGAAGTCATTTCGTTGTCTCATAACAGAAAATGATACTGGAAGGAAATTTAGTTTTAAGGGGACCCCCCCCCCCTTTCCCAACTCAAAATTTTCACATTTTTCATTTTTCATTTTTTGTGATTAGTATATAGATTTAAATGCCCTCTATCCATTGAGTACATTTTGAGAACTGAAAAACCACATCTTATATATAAAAAAGTCGAAAAAAATCACAAAATATGCCGAAAAAACCAAAAAAACACACATTTCTTTGCGTTTTTCTCAAAATCAGTTTTTTCAGCAAAAAAATGAAGTTTTCCCCCTTTTTCTCCGCCATTTCAAGTCCGATCGGGCTGAAAATTGTTTTGGTGAGACTTCGAGTGATTTGGGTTGGGCGTTTTTTTTTTTTTTTGGATACCTTCTACCAATCAAGTTTGGCAGGCTTCGCAAAATTTTTAGGATCCAAAAAATCTAGAGATTTTGCAAGGTGCTCAGTATTTTGGTTCTCCAGCCTGAAGTATTTGGAATTTTTGAAAAAAAAAAAAAAACGCCCACCCCGATTGGGTCTGTCTACCCACAGCAAAAATTTCAGCTCAAACGGATGAAATTTGTGGATTTGCGGGGGGGAAAACTTTTTGCAAGTTTTTGACCTTGGGGTCTCTGGAAGTCCATGAAGATGACGTCTGGCAAATTTGTGTCTATGACAACTTTTGCTCTACTACTCGAGGTCTATCTACCCTGCAAGTTTCAGGAATTTTCGTTCGGCCGTTTCTTAAAAACGCCGGAAAGGGGGGGGGGGTCCCCTTAAAGAAGCACTATTTTAATAGTTTTTCGGAAATGTTTAAAACATTAATAAATAATTAGATATTATTATGTATTCGCTTTCATTTGAGGAAAAAGTTTGACTTCGGATCGAAAAGTCGATACTTCTTTT